GAACTTTTCAAAGCTTCCTTTCAAATGTAAAATTTTGTTTTACAAACTGTACATCCTGCCTCTTTTCATGTACGCTGCTGTTAGCTGGTGTGGCTTGTCCTCGGTTCTCGCTGAGCATCTCGAAATCCACCATAGAAAACTTCTTCGTATCCTGTTTAGTCTACCCCCTCTCTACTCTTCTGCTTCCCTGTATGTCCTTGCAAATGCTTGCCCACTGTCGACCCACCGTCAAAAATTAATTTGCACTTTTGCTCACAAATTTAAACTAGCTCTACATCCTCCTCATCTTAACGTGTATAACTGGTTCCGAATCACAGATGGCTCCCAGACAAGATGCTCTGTTGCCCTCCCCTTGGCTAAAACGTCCTCCCTTGTACGCTCTCCACTCTTTGTTGCTTACTCTGCTTGGCTTGCGCTGCCCGCTACTACGCGCAATGCCAGTACCCTGGACGCATTTAAATCTGCTCACTAGATTCACCATCACCTGTCCCTCCCATGCTTCTCCGTCTTGACCATTACTTTTCTTCTTTTATTCACCATGGTTGGTTAACACCCACATCTCCCGTACTGGCTGATTTTCTTCTCATGCCATGAGGTGTTGTCTATAATAATAATAATAATAAATAGTTTTATCAAAAGTTGTGCTCACGAGGAAGTCGTAAATTACCGACTCCCTGGAAGCCCTTTCCCAAAGATGCCATAATTTTCGCAACTTATGCTTTTCGCAACAGTGCAAAAACATTGCAAGTTGCTGAAGTCGCATTCATATCTTCACTTCAGAATAAGCTCAACAGTTACAAACGGCGCAACTTCAAACGAGAGCGTTCTTGTGCATAGAATGATGCCAAAAGGCAAAATCACCAAAAAATGTAGCAGAAATGCAGCGACAAACTCTATACTCCTTCCTGCTGTGAAACACAACTTTGCACAGTGCAAGTCGCCTGTTGCATGCCTCTACCATCATTCCAGTGCACGGATAAGGGAATGGTCATGTACATGTCCATGTCCAGGTACATGTACATGTACATGTACATAATGACTTATGTAACTACCGTTGATGCAGTATTGTCTCTCTGAAATGAGTTTGAGAGCTCTCGAGAAATGAACGTGTAAGCATTTATCCGACATTGTAGTGCATGTACATGCACATGTACAAATGTAAGTGACTCAAGTGACCTTTTGACCACCGCATGGGGCCAAGGGGCGGAAAAGTTGCCAAGTACTTCAGTAGTAGAAAAGAAAAAAAGGACCAAGGAACTACAAGTTACGCTATAATGTCCACAAACTTTCGGTACTTTCGGTGCGTCTGTTTCATACCTAAAAAATTTCAATACACCCAACACATCATCCAATAGGGAACTGCTTCTCTGTACCGAAAATTTCTTTTCACCTAACCTGGCCTTTTGCCCTCAAACCGAAAATATTGAGCATCGAAAAATTCTGAAATTAGAGTACGCTATAATGTCCACAAACACCACCAGTTGATAAACAATATGCTCACGCGATAAAATAATTGCACGACACTGATCGACGGTACTGACGTAACTGGCTAACAGCTCTAGCACATCTTGGATGCGCACTCCAACAGCCTTCCAACTAGTTGCTTGGAAGGTTCTAAGTCTTGGTTGCGCTCACCTTCCCCCTTATGTTATTTCTATACTCATACTCTTCCTCAGTAAACAACAAGCAAGTAAAATGGATACAATCATATCAGGGGAGGTTCCTGGAATGGTGAGTAAAAAAAAGCAATGCGAAAAATTAATAGCAGCCGGAAATACGGCTGGCTACGCGGCTCTATGACACAAAGCAGAACAGCTTGAATTTAAAATAGAACTACGACTACGAGTCTAGTAGTTAGGGTTTATCGGGTGTTAGCGGCGGGATCCCTTCGGGAACGGATACGATAATTTACTCTCTTTTTTTACGAGTCTAGTAGGAGAAAGAAAAGTTGACCATCCGGTCAGCCATAATACATTACAATTTACATGTAGGCTTTGACCCAGGGAGTCGGCTATACATGTACATGTACAGTCATGATATAGCCTAGCACTGGTTAAAAACTAGTATTAGATAAACCTTGTTATACTTATAGTTCACGCAATTGTTACATGTAGTTTGACAGCATGAAACAAGGTGGAGGACACTGTGTTGGGAAACAGTGACCTTACTACAACCTTCCGCGGTTGGCAGAGCCCCGGTCCCTGCCTGTGGTTCATTTGAACCATATGGGTATCGCACCCGATTCTGACCCTCATTATGCTATGGAGTTAGGAGACTACTCCTGATGTCGTCTTGTTTTCTTCGCTCTTTTCTTTAACTTGTATAAAGACTTCTTTTTCTTTTTCTTTTTTCTTCCAACTTCTGCCCTACGCACATCAAAAGCTGTATACTTGTAAGTTGTATTGTTGAACTACACTACTACTACTACTGTCTACTGACAATACTTCTTGACACCCAGGCCACGGTTAACTAGACAACCGCAATCTAATGGTTGGCTGTTTTTTGAACTAGCTTCCACCATGTTGCCACCCATTGGTACTATTTCAATCGCATGACACGTAGTATCTCACTCCCGAAGCCAGACATTGCTCAATGCAAATAGCTGTGTAGAATTTTCTATGCTCACTCCTACCAAGTAGTTCCTTTGAAAAGGTCAAGAAATGTTTTCTTCGAGGTACTTGTCTGTGAAGAGACAAGATGTCTTCCGCAATTGGACATCTCCACGTTCACCCCAGGATTAACTCCACTTGATACGAGTTGACACCGGAGGTAAGCCGTAACTCAAGCTCGTTTTTTCTTTAAATTTGTGAGGGTATGCACGTACACGTAACTAACAAAACTGCATGGTCAAATAATTGAGGCACTTGTAGTTGTTTAGGTTTGCAGATGAAATTCAAGTTTTTTTTGACAGTTCAAGTTTACGTGACAACATCAACAACATACGAGTTATTTCCAAGCGGTACTGATGAAGGTAACCAACGTGTAGCAAAATTGAAGCAGTTGCTCATGTTTGTAGATGAAATTCAAGTTTTCTTGACCAGTACTAGTTTGCGTGGCAGCATCAACAGCAGACAGGTTAACGAGTGGAGGTAACCAACGTGTAGCCGGGGTGTTCCGACGTGGTGAAGGCCTACCCATGGCCACGTCGGGACATCACCAACCCCGTCTACAGAGAGCACCTTCTCGCGACAGTGTCATGGTGATGACAAAAAAACTGTGGGCAGTTGACGAGCTGAGAGAAGGACGCCGTGGGCAGAAGTTGGAAGAAGAAAAGAAAAAGAAGTCTTTATACAAGTTAAAGAAAAGAGCAAAGAAAACAAGACGACCTCAGGAGTAGTCTCCTAACCCCCTAGCATAACGAGGGTCAGAACCGGGTGCGATACCCATAATGGTTCAAATGGTCCGCAGGGACCGGGGCTCTGCCAACCGCGGAAGGTTGTAGTAAGGTCACTGTTTTCGAACACAGTGTCCTCCACCTTGTTTCATGCTGTCAATCTAACAATTGCGTACATGTACATGTACATGTATACCCGACTCTCTGCTTTGACTAGGGAGTCGTGCTAAGTACAATGCACACGTACATGTATATGACCATGCAATGTACAATGGACAAACCCTAAACACTGTAAAAGCCATAATAATTAATATACAGTCATGTATAACGAAGTGCTAACTCTAACGAGAAATCTGTCGTTAAAATAGAAATCGTTATACAGAAATCGATACATTTACTGCCCTATTGTCGTATTGAGCGTTGAGAATAAGTAAGAATCGTTACCTTTGGTACACGTAAACCACTCAATTTTGGGAAACTGTTATACAATGTATAGGCGCCTCGTTAGAATAATGGCTTTAACAGTATGCAAAAAGGACCCTGGAAGGGTTTATACGACTCGATCCCTGGCTTTGACTGTTTGAGGTAGCTGCGGCAAAAAAGTAAAATCATTGTCATTCCTCACTGACGTCTGACAGACTCACAAATCAAAGGCTTTGAGTTTGAGTTGTGACTCACTCAGCTCAGTTCATACTGTGTCATGACAATCATTACTACATTAGCACTGACAGACTGACCCTGGGGCGGATAATGCTCGAAAAAGTGGCAGATTCTGCTCGAAAAGCAGTAAAATTGGCAGAACCATACAAACCTTATGGCGGGCAATTCCTCGAATTCTGCTTCATTTCTTTATCCACATACCAAACATGATGAAACTTACCAGAAAAAAGTACCGAATTCTGCCAATTCTTCTGCCAACAGAATCCGCTGGACCCACTACAGTATAGACGAATGCTTTGAAACTGAAAGCATGAATGATTCACGCCGAGACTTTGGTACCGATAGACAGTGCATGCACTCGTGCACTCGTTCTACCATGGATACGTGACGTACCTACGCTGAGATCATGCTCGCGCTCGACCTCGGCCGGCGATCGGTCAGCATGATCAGGCGTATGCATTGCCAGCATGATCTCATGAGTCATGACTCATGTAGACCTGCATACTACATTTTAGTAGATGGCATGGTCAGTCTGCACACGACTACATCATGCAGAGTCAGTACAGTCACGTAAAACAACTCTGCCTGTGGTCCTGTTTGGAGTTTGGACTCGACTCGTACATGGTAGACTACTCGTACGGTCGTAGTCGTAGACTCGTAGATTCTACTCGTAGAGTAGATCCAGAGCCGGAGATCTCACTTTTTTCAGTGCTTTCACTGCCAAGTGCCATGCGCTGGTGCTCAAAAAATGCCCACCCCCAGCAAAATCATCTGGATCTCGCACGTATGCCCGTGAAGCATGATGACGTAGAATCTGCAGCCGCACATGTCCACGGTCGGTCTGCGACGTGACAGGCAGTACAGGACAGGTAGAGTCTGACTCAGACTGTCTTGTTGTTCAAACCATGCCATATGCGCCATACACTGATACAGAACTTGTCAGAAGCATTTCACGATTTATTCGCAGAAATCATTTTTCTACACATTTTTGCGGATCAAAATGAGCTTGTTGTTTAGCTGATGCCAGTGTCGCACTGTCGGGAGCGACCCTAGAGCAATGTCCGTTATGTTCGTGTTGCAGCCCTAGCCACTGCTGAAGCGTTCTTGTCGCTAGCCGTTCATGCTGGCGCTCAGTAATCAGGGGCGGTAGCATTAGCGTTTCATCAATGCCCGTCTGCGCAAAGCTGTCCACAACACCCCGTTCGAACAGTCAGTGAACGCAAGGAGCGCGTAAAAAATAGGTTGAGAGAAAGACACGGGACCCTCCACATTTGTGCTCCTGTCGATTCCTAGTCTAGCTCGCTTGGAGGAACGTTAGCAGTAGCAGAGGAGACACGGCCCTGGATGAGCGATGGACAAACCTAGATTGCCTGCTGATGATGCCGACTCGGGTAGGTTTGTGCCCCGTATTGCCAATTTCTCTGAATTACTTTGTCAAGCCAGTTGTCCTTGCCTTGACTGGCACCGTGACAGCCTCTCATCGTTCCTGTTAGGCTGCGAGTGCTACGATCAAGAAGGAACACTTTGGTCTGTGTCTGGGTGTAGTTGCTGGCGAGTGCCATCGCTATCGCACTATGTATCGTGCATCCTTCACCGACTCACGTGTGTGTGTGCGTGTCTGTGCGTGCTCCTTGCTACGCGTTTGTCTGTTCGTGTGTGCGCGAGTTTCTACGACGATATGCGGGCCATTGGAATACCTTCCTCAAACAATTGTTCTGATTTCGTTTTACTGCAGGTCGAGGAAGAAGTGGAAGTCTCTCTAAGGATGACCAGGTACGTGTGCTCTGATTTTGTTTCATAGTTGGCGCACGCACAATATGTTTGCTCTAAACCCATAATGGTGTGGGCCGTTGCTCAATGATTACGTCGTTGCTGGCAACAGCACAATGTTGCAAAGTAGGGCGAGACGGATAGGCCAGGGCCAGTCCCCTGCGTTCAGATTCGTCTTTGCATTGTGTTATTCGTGTAGGGAGGTGTATTTTCGTTCTGTGTCGTGTTCGTAGTTTTAGTGGCAGTGTATCAGTGTCTGCGTGCGCGTGCATGCAAGGGCAGTTGATCATAATCGAAATTGTTCATTTTCAGGCGGCTGCGAAGTATGTTGCGGAAATTTGAAGTGAAGCAGCGGCACGCCGCAGCAACGACAGAGTCTCCGCTCTGTTCTCTCCAATGTGTGCGCGGGGGTCGGGCGAGCTTATGAAGTCGATCTCGCGCCATGTCCACGAAAAAAGTAGGACCCAGAAGGCATGGTAGAGGTACGGCCGCGCATCGGCACCACTGACACTAGTGTCAGCGACCCGTCTCGGGGATACGATCGAAATGGATTGGTGAACGCTTCCTGAAGACGACCGAGCGTAGTCGTGTCGTTATGTCGTCCAGGGAAACTGGCTCGTCGCAGAGTTACCAATATCTACTCACTGCCAGTTGAGATTGAATTACGGCTCATACCGCTGTCGAAACGCCACCGTCGAAACGAGTGACCTTCACTTCAGTGGAACCCCGGCCTCTGTGCTACAGTTCCGTTGCTGATTACGTACACAGTGACATAGTCATTATAACTGTTCACAATGCCCGCCTCTGTGTCTGAGTGTGTACAAACTATTACATCCTGTCGTAAATTCGCGTGATGAATTGGAAAAAAAATAGGCTGGCATGACAGGGTGACATTTACACTTGAAGTGCATCCCCCATTCACATGGAAGAGGGAAAAAGAATTCTCTGGGGAACTCTGGTGTGTGTGTGTGTGTGTGTGTGTGTGTGTGTGTGTGTGTGTGCGTGTGCGCGCACGCACGCATGTGTGTGCGCGCACGCACGCATGTGTGTCTTTGTGCACCTGCATATGTGCACGCGTCACTTGCTTTTTACGTGGGCGTTTTGTTCTCAAGGGTTCAGGATGGGAGGCTGCTGCAAAAATAAGTTTCTCATTGCCCAAAGCGTATACCAAGTTATTTACACAAGTTCTGTTGCTAATTACTTTCATAATTTCTCAATATTTGAGAGGTTCCGCATAGCGTACGGTCAACTTCGCTAATAACGACTACGGATATAACGGCAATTTGCAAATAACGACAGAATATTATTTCCATGCCCAGAGCAAAGTCTCATGTAACCTGTATACATATAATAAGACTTCGGGTAAAAGGACACTTTGCTAATAACGACACCTTTCTGATGCCCCGCCAAGTGTCGTTATACGCAAAGTTGACTGTAATTACGTTGGGAAGGAACGTTATTGATCTACGGAAGGTCTTTACACTGAATGCGGATCCGTGTTCCTCCATACAGATTTTCGAATCACGTAGCTGCCCTTGGCATGCGGGCAACTCCCAACGCGGCAGTGTACGACATAGGGAAAGAGTCATAAATTGTTTACCCCGCTCCACTGACGGAGCACATCTGTTTGTAGAGCTCCATTTACGTACTCTACATAGACAACTGTCCGTAACTGGAGTACAAACTCGCAAATTCACGAATTCACTTACGTAAAGCTGCTCAACTTTATGTCGTGCGGAACCTCTCTATTGCAAGGGGTAATCTTGATTAACAACACATTTTTTTAGCCTTGTTCCATTGCAAACTTGTAACAAGCTCGTTGGTGTTGTCTTTCGTATGAAATGACTTCCATAATTTCGTAGAATTGCCCAAGTCCATGCCCGATTCCCGAAATTATTCCAATGCGAACGTTTCACAGCATAGCACATGCCTGAGAGTAGTAATATCTAGGGGAATGACATTGGAAAGTTGAACGCACAACAATGCCTGTCTCACTACGTGCGTTGCCCGTTCACTTTGCTCTTGGGGCAGTGCCAGTTGTGCACGCTCGTGTACGCCTTTGTAGGCCTGGGTCGTGTGTAGGGTTAGCAGGTCGCGGTCTCCCTTTCACCTGTGTGCCGCGTAGACCCATTTCGAATGTATGTTACATAGGTCCATCTCAGCCGTGTGTCGTACTTACAGTACTGTTGTTGGGGCGCCGAAGAACAAACAAGCTAGGATTTCACCAGGAATAGCATACAGATATACACACGGTGGCACTAATGCGCATACAATACAATTCGTGAAGATAAGCAGGGCCTCGGCTATGTATGGGTCAATTTGAACTTTGTCTTGACAGTTGTATCATGTTGTCTGATGAGTGTTTCACACAAAACTCTGAGTAACGGCGGAAAAGGACTTGGTTGCGCCATTGCTGTGTGATCATTGTATTGATCTGTGTCTTGCAAAGACCAATATCACCGTGTGCTGATCAGATTGTAGGGGGCATAGAGCAGGGGCGTCGGACACGGTTTGGTCACTACGGTATTGACCGTACCATTCTTTCCCCCAGGTACCCCGTATATCAATCAAGAGCACTGATTTGGGCTCCAATTTTCGAACATTTTCGGCTCTGCCGCCCCTTCCCCAAAAATAAATTGTACTTGAGATGGCCGACTGTATCATGGCGAAATACCTTCCGTCGCCCCTGTAGAGCCTGGAGGCACGTTGAGAGCTATGGCACTGTGCAGTTGCTGCTACACTGGCACTAGGCCCCTGCACAGATGTGCATATTATAAAAAAAACTTTACCCAACCTCAGGACAGCTGGCGATTTCGACCTTATCAGAGCTCATCAGCTGAGCTCAGCCTCAGGGTCACTGGCCAAACCGATCACAATGACGTGTACGGGACTGTCCAGAGCTAAAAATCAGAGAGCCGAAGAATGAATAGGCTAGGCTTTCACCAAACATAGCATACGGTATGCACATAGGGTGGCTCAACTGTGCATACATGTGTATGTTAAAAAATAAGAACGACCTAGGCTACGAGTCTGACTCCCCCCCCCCCCCCCCCAAGTTATTCAGTGCGCAGCAGTACTGTAGTAAACGAAAAAGTTTAAATCGCGTCAAATTCGGGTGCTCTAACTGCAAAGTACACACCGGTTGCACAGTCATGATCCAGTGTGAAGCCTTGGCTATGATGAGACTCTCGCTAGCTACGCACCACATGCCAAGCTAAACGGGTGCAAATTCGATTTTCCATAGCTGGCTACGGCGGGCACTGATGATGGTGTAGGGTATGTGCGTGTGACTTACATTGCCGGGTCATGGGTGTTGAATATCGCACTGGTTTGAAATATTGCGCAATCTTTCGCAATGCTTGTACTATCGTACTGGGAGTTCAGTGCGCACTCACAACGGTGAAGTCGCGCTTGTTGTTGTTGTTGTTGTTGTTTATTTTACTTCGCAGATTCTAACGGGCAAGTTGCCCAATAACAAGAAAGCGAAGGCAAAGAAAATAATACTAATAAAAGAAATAACCGGGGGCAGCAGAAAATGAATAATAGCTTTAAGAACTCAGATGGTGAGCCAAGGAACAAATTTCCATGTTACAAATAATCGCTTTTAAAAGTAAAAAGAAAAGAGCGGGTGGTACAGCAGACTTCCTATTCTGAATTCCCTGAACGAAGCAGAGACATTAGCTGGGTACATGTCACTATTACACAGTAGCAAGAGAGCTACCTCGGTCGACATCAGTGGACGTGGACTACGAGTGGATGCGACATACGAGTGGATGCGACAGCAACAGTGACTGGAATAATGGGTGATACGTTTCATGGAGCGAGCGTATGTGGGATGACTGACATCTTGAACACACTGCGTTGGGGGATGGTGCGGATGTCGCTGGGTAGTGCGTTCCACAGCTTGGGAGCGGCAACAGAGAACCTAGCCTGACCAGCGCGGCTTGCGGCGGGTGGTATGTGCGCTCCGATGTCCTTCTGCAAGCGGGTACGCTGATCTGGTGACCTTGAAATCAGTCCACAGAGCCGGTTCCCCGCAATGCCGTGGATGCATCGCCAGGTGAGCAATAGCGCCTTTTGCTTGTGCAACTCTGAGATTCGGTAGAGTTCCACCCGTTGGAGCAGAGGTTGAGCAGAGTCGTATGGCCGAGCGCCTTGTGCGTGTATTGTCTATGCAATACTCTTGACAATTGCGGTTACAGCATGTTACCGCGGCGCTCTCAGCACAGGGTCAATGACAGCTAGCAGTGTAATAGCTTGAAGGTACAAAATACGGAAGGAGAGAAAAAATGTAACTAACTGCCCATCTTGGGGTTCGAACCTAGGAATCTGTATCCACACAAGCTCTACAAATAAATACTCTTTTACTGCGAAAAATATACTTTCTATCAAAATGCAACTCCTGCAGTAGTACTGTATTTGCACCAGGGCTAGCAGATTCTCAGGTGAGATCTGTCGCCTTTTGCTATCAAGGATCATCCAGCGTAGTGTATCGATTGTGTTGATTTTGCACGTAAAAGAGGCGTGCACCGGCGTCGCGTGCAATTGCAGCGTGTAGTACTGTATATGTCGTATTTGCACCAGGGGTAGCAGATTCGCAGGCGAGATCTGTCGACTTCGGCATGATGCTCACGTGAGGTATGTCGCCTTCGGCCTGGTATGAGTGAACGCTGTCTGGGTGCATTGTAGTCAGTGCTATGCCCTGTTTCCTCTGCTTACCTGTTCACCTGCTGTGGTGGTCCTGACCGGGTTTTTTGTTTATCAACCTACAGCTCAAGCTCCAGAAGAAGCTCCAGGAGAGACCGGGGCGGGAGCAGCTGGTCAACCAGAACATCCTCAAATGTAAGTCAGCGTTTGCAGTCCTGTTCTTGGGAACTGAGTAAACACATTCTTTCCGCACGCAGTCACTATCTGTTGCCAAATAGGGGACAGCTGGTCAACTAGAACATCCTAAAATGTAAGTCAGTGTTTCCAGTACACTGCAACCTGTCTGCGGCGACCGCTCAGGGGACCTTGCAGGGGACCTTGGGAATGTGGTCCCTGCGTACAGGTGGTCTCCTTATCCAGGGTCACTTGACTGGAAATACCATCCTTCGGTCCTACAGTCAGTTTCAAAAAGATTAGCAATCCTGGTGATCGCCCGGGGAGTTTGCCGTCTTACCGTATGAGCGCTCGAGCTTTGCCTGGAAAAACTCACTGTGAACTCGAAGAAATATTCCGCGCGAAAGCATGAAAAATGACAACTCACTCAGGTCGATGTCGGTACAGTCGTGTACGTCTGGTTCACAACAAACGAGTTCTTCCTCGTATCGATTATGCAGTCAGAGAGGACATGTCGAAAGTGTAGTCAATGCCGAGGCTGACGAGCGGCATGGGTCCCAATATGTTTTGTGACCAAATAGTTTCTTTGAGCTGCGATGCAATTTACTCTTACCATGATTGTGACGAAAACGACATCGACACAGACTCATTCCCAAGGCCATGACTTGGCGAAGCTATCCGTATGACTTCGACAACATTTTGAGAAAAGCAGACGCCTGTGGAAGCTGATAGAAGACGGCGTTGACTTCTAAAATTCAAATAAATTGGCGATCTTGAAATACTAAAATAATTCTCAAAAAGAAATCGATCGATCGATGTGCCGGTGTATTCAACACGTAGCTACAGCGCAATGACTTCCGTATTCACTCACACCGTTTCAGTGTTGTGGGTGTGTTCACATGGCGTGAGCCAGTCAAGTGTCAGTCAGTTCGGGAGGAAGCGGGAGCTCCAACAACAACAACCGTGAACAACAACAAGTCTGCTTGATCACCAAAAAACAATGAAAAAAAGTGTGAGTTGAAGATAGGTTGGGATTTGAACTCACAACTTCATGGTCAGCAGACAGCATCCATAACCACAAGGCCGGCCAGAAAGGAAAGATAAATCGTGGGTTTTGATAGAAAAATCGATACTGGCTTCCAGGGCAAATTGTAAACCATGGGAAAAGGCCGGAAACCTGGCCGAAATTCTAACTCCTTAACGGCTGGTCCAATTGTTCCGAAACCTTCACAGAACAATTTGCCGTGCCCTAACCAGCCCTTTTATGTACTTCGTTGTCCAATTTTCCCTTATCTTCATACTTTTTAAGACCAAAACCTGATTGCTAATCTTTTTGAAACAGACTATAGTTGCAGTGGTCTTCTAGGACTGGTGGTCGCCTAATCCGAGTGGTGGCCTTGACAGGTTGAACTGTACTGGTCTTGGGAACGTCGCTTCTCCATATTCTTTCTTCGCCCGTAAATATAACGAATCAACAACAAAGCCAAGGATCTTTGTAGGTCAAAACATGACACCTTCTTTCCACATGCATTACCGTATTTCCCCGTAAGTTAGTACGTACTAACTTTCGAACTTAGCAGCCACATGAGTACTAACTTTCGGGGGTGGTACTATCTTTCGGGGAGTACTTTTTTATCGGGGGTAAATGACACGCAGTGGGAAGCCTGCGCAACTGTAGTGTCCGTGCATATGATGTACATGTATGTACTGTACGGTGTCTGTACATGTAGGACGGGTACGAACTTACTATCTTTCGGGGGGAACTGTCTTTCGGGGTGATAACCTCGGCAGTGGAAAGTGTATTTTTTATAGGGGGGTACTAAGGCATTAGGGAGAACTTACTTACGGCAAAATACGGTATGTGGACTATCTGTTGCCGAATGGTGGTGTACTAGCAGTGCAAGCTCGTAAACTATGTCAAATGTAACTCTGCAAAGTTTGGCCCATTTAAATGTCAGCCTCCCAGGGCTAAAACTCATTTAAGTTCAGTCTGCAAATTTTCGGCCCATTGTTGTGAAATGGTGATTGTGTTGTTTTCCTGTGTGATGGCATTCCCCAAACTGTCTCGTCTAGCCGCGTGCATGTGTGATATGAGCATGCGCGATTTTGTACTTGAGAGGCGTTTTGTCAGTCTTCTTGTTTGTCTCTGTCAGAGCAGTTTGCTTTTCCGTCTTGTCAATATAAATAATGTAACAAACAAGTCTTGTCCTTTGTGTCCTGCGTCCCGGGGAACGGAATCGCCGAGATTCCGTAACAACATTCTAATTTCAGCCTCCCAGGGCTAAAACCCATTTTTGCTGCATCACATTTTCGGCCTATACTGCTGCCTCCTGTATACACTGTCACACTGAACCTTGCAAAACAATTTCAGCCCAACATGACCAGGCTGAAAACAGCCGAAAATAAATATGCGCCGAATATTTGTTGACTCACAGTAACTGCTGGTTCAGGGTGTCGAACAGCATGTCCATCATGCCACGGTCCAGTCGGTGCTTTTACAGTTGGATGCTTCACCCGTCTCGTCGTGTATGTAGATTTTTGTGCTCAATCGTATTGTATATCACTCGCCGTGCTCTGTTGTAGTTGCTCCCATCCCATATATTCATCCAAGCTTTCGGCTGGAACA